GCTGTGACGTATGCGGCCGACGAATTCGACCTTCGGAGGACCCGTCCTGCCGTTTTGGACACAGCCTAAGTTTAATTTTTCTGCCTCCTAGGGACTCCAAGTCAGTACCCAAAAATGTATTTAACAGCTAAAAAGGTAGATTTTGCAGGATATGTCCTCTTTACATAAATGAAAACATCCAATTTTAATTTACTGACTTRATATAAAAGCTGTTTTGGCCACAGCTGCTGATGAAGTCATAGGACTTGTCCAGAGGTTCTTCRTTCAGGTAACTGGAGCTGTAGCTCGTCTCAGGAACCACCAGCACATAGTCCTGTTCAGAGGGGGACAAGACCAGATTATAACCAGATAATCCACAGGAGTGTGATTACAGTTAGCAGTTCTATAAAACCTTTCTAACACCAGAGACATAACTGAGGTTTTACACAGTCCCTGTTTCAAAAATCCAATCAAATCAAATCAAATTTAAAGGATTTTGTTGACTTTAGGGTATTTTTTTATGTCTGAGCACAATTCTGACAGGACTGATATCTAACAGCTAATCAGAGCATCATCCATATCAGAAATACATACTGTAAACAGCTATAATCCAGTCAGTTTAATGAACGTGTAGTTAAAATTAGATGTGGTAGTAGACGAGGGTCATTGTCAACACATACAAGCATGACAACTCTGATGTCACACGCACATACAGTAACATTATTGTCAAGGTTTGACTAAAACACCCAGCTGCTAACAGGAGAATCATGAGGATCATAATCCTACCAGCCACAGGGTTTTATCTGCAGGTATCTGAACTGTGAGGAAGAGGCTGTGCTGCGTCACGTCCAGGATGATCTGATTCTCAGAGACCAGCACGTTCCGGCAGCCGTAGGCATGAGGACAGAAGGAGGCGTTGGTGATACCTGAAACACAGAGTTTTTTTTTTAAATTTAAGCTTTAAAATTGTTTTCTATTTTTATCTTTTGTTGTAACACAGATYCCCCATTAGTGCTGTTTTGTACATTTCTCACACTTTAAATACTTCAGCCTACGTTTTGCTGTTTTAACTGATCATTAATGGAAACGTTCAGCTCAATCAGGAGATGGGTGCAATGATGTTTGGCTTGWAAATTTTATAATTATGACCCCCAGATGCGAAGCGTAAGCGGGAGTCATATTGTTTTTGTAAGGTTTATTTTATTTATTTATTTATTTTTCAGTGATTTTTGGTCAACCGTAGCACAAAAACGGCTRCACCAATCAACATGAAATTTGGCAGGGCTGTAGAAGAGTCTGACCTACACTGCGCCAGCCAACGGTTTTACGATACACCCCATAATTGAGGAGGGAGCTCCATCCAAAGAAGGGGGTGTCTGGACATGCAAAAATGCTTATAACTCAGAAACTGTTCAACACAGGAGCTTCATTTTTTTTTGTTTAGCTCTGACGAAGCTCTATCCATCAGGCCCACCAATCAGCCCCCCCCCCGCCCTGACCCCCAATTTATCTGAAAAAGGGGTATCTGAACATACAAAAATGGTTATAGCTCAAAAATTATTAAACATAGGAGTTTCAGATTTGTGTTGGATGTTTAGCGCTGATGAGAGGCTATCCATCAGTTCAGCCAATTTTTTTGCCTTTGTTGTTACAAAATAATAAGATTAGTGTTCTTAAAATGGACAAAAATAGCGTAATAAATAATGTTACTGTGCTCTTGTTTATTTGAAGTGAAAACAATCTTTATCAACCAACAAAAGCTGGGGGCACAGATCTATGCTGCTAGTATTTTGTTGGTCAAAAGCTGAAAAAGGTTTGGAAACCACTGCTCTAGATTAAACCTGAACTGCCTGAAGCTTGTGTGACACCAACCCTGCCAGATCCGTCCTCCATTGATGTAGACCTGCACCGGATAGGTGGGATGAAGAGGCTGGTGAAAGTGGAGGATGAAGATGTAGCGTCCAGGAGACTGGACACGAGCTGAGTACACAACAGCATTCTGGGTAGACAGATATTTAGCTTTTAAATAACTGTTTCATTCATGGAATGCAGGTTTTAGCAGTTTGTCCCTCCTCACAGAGGAAGAACGTCTCCTGTCCATCAACATCAGGAACATCTGTACCTGCAGCGAGTCCAGTCGCATGTGACTGCTGCTGTCTGCTCCAAAGGGAGGTCTGACTCCTTCTATCCAGACAGGCTCCTGGCCTTGGTGGACAGACAGAGGAGGACCTGCTGCTGGAGACACATGGAAGATCTCCTCCTGCGTGGAGGAGCTCTGGCCCTCCTTCAGGACCAGAGAGTCTGTTGGTGTCTGGAAGCGTGATGGGACACAGGAGGAACTGAAGCAGAGCAGACAAGACAAGAGTTTGACATGTTACAAAGCTTTTTTAAAACAGAAATATTCTCTATAATGAATAAAGAATCTGGATCCATTACCTGTCAGGAGAAAAAAGTCCATGAGAGCTGATGCAGTGGACTTTAGGTTCAACATACTCCATGTTGAACAGGGCTTTAGGCACCAGGTACACTTTGTTCTGAAGAAATACCAACAAAATTAAACTTTACATGTAAAAATCAGACAAAAATACTGAGATCTAAAAATTTCCATCCATCCATCCATCCATCCATCCATCCATCCATCCATCCATCCATCCATCCATCCATCCATCCATC